CACAATCTTCTGGAAATACAAAGACCAGAATGAGAATGATCTCGACTAAAACACTCGGTTACAGCCATGGTTAGGTTTATTATATTTGGTAAATACTACTTAAACACTCGGTTGGTCTCATCAAAGCTTATGCTCGGCGGCTCTGTAGACGCGACTTTGTCATTTGTTTCCTAGTTTTATGTGTCCCAAGCCAGAGGAAATATACATGTGATGTGACAATCACTGCTTTTCTCTAACATGCTTTTGTGGTTGCAGAGTGACATGCTCCTCGAGTTAGTGAGTATGGTTCATGAGCTATGTGTGGTTCTTGGTTTGGATTTCTAAAACATTGTCACCGAAGTTCATCCGAGCTTAGATGAAGAAACCGGTGTCCAGTCTAAGATATATATCAAACGTGATTCACAAAATTTGTTCAGGGGACAACAAATCTTGTTATAATTAATGCAAGTCCTTAGATTTTCTCTCTGGGATGAAATTGTGAGAACAAGTTTATACTAACTAATTGGATGAAATTAACTGTGTAGTCTGGAAAGAAACTTATAATGAATGAAGAAAAAATCATATATTGATGTTTACATGCTTTTTCTCTAGAGATGATTTTGTGTATGTTCTGTTTTCCTGTGGAGGGATGCTCTCTGTTCCCATCTTGATGAGTTTCGCTGTGTTTTATGGGCAAAGATCTAGCGAGAAGGAAAAATGATTTGTAAGTTATGGTTGTACAAATCTTTGAATATTGCAAGTTATGGTTGGTATATATTCTTCAAATTTCCTCTAGTTTGAGAAGGTGAAAAATAAGTAACACACATCCTGGGCGTAACATGAATTCGTTCATTGAAAGAGAATATTGAAAAATGCATTTAACAAAGACGTCAAAGTTGAAATTTAAATTAAGTGATGGTTATTGCTGATTTGCTACCAATGTATGAATATATAATACTTATAATTCTAAACTAAACATAAAATCCGCTGTAGCACAAAGGCTAAATCATCTCTTGAATATGAAATATCCGGGTTCGAAGCCCGGCAGCGGAAAAATGTTTTGGTTATTTTTTTTGTTTTTAACAAAACCAAACCAAAATATATACTACTTATAATTCTGATCTTAACATAAAATATGTTGTGTAGCTCAAAAGCTAAATCATCTCTTGAATATGAAATTTTCGGGTTCAAAGCCCGGCAGCGGAAAAAG